GTTTTAAATGAGTAAAATCTGAAGAATAGTCTTCAAAAGTTGCAATTATTGTATCAACTTGAGTTGGGGTTGAAACCCTAGAAAAAAATGTACAACGAAATACCAAATATGAATTAGTTAATCCAAATTAAGTGAGTTTGGAGGCTGTTCTACACAATAAAATTTAAACATACCAAGCTGGGGTCATAATTTCAGTAAAGAAAGGATCCAAGTCGAGAAACACTTCATCMAGCAAGAAAATACATCTAGAAAACATAATCCAGAATATCATGATTTTATGAAGAATTGTTGATATATAAATCTGAACTCAATTCTCATTTCCATGACCCTTTAATTCCCATTTCTCTTTTCATTTTGTCCTCCAATTTCCTTCTCTACCAATTCTCTTGGATAGCAGCTACAAAAACTAATGACTCAAATCATGGTAATTGTTTCATGGTATGCTGTCCAGTTAGATTCCAGTTAGAGATTCCATACCCTTCCTGTCCAATTTTATTGTAACAGTCATTGATGCTTTGGAATATCCTCAGCCTGTCTTCACCAAAGTTWGGTTTTCCAACTTCAGAAAGTGTATTGTCCTATTTACATGGAAATGAAAAACTCAGACAAGTATTCTTGTAATTTTAATTGAAATGTTATTATTTTTTTTTTGTAAATTGTTGTCTTGATAAGGAAACTCAATAGTGTACCTTGAGTTGTTCAGCAAACTTGATGGATGACTGACAGTTGTTCACTATCGCAATCTAAGAGAGAGATCCTGTATGTCACTAATAATATCTAATCATGGTTGTCAATATGTAATCTTGAAATGATTGTTAATTTATCATTTTACCATGTATTCAACAAATCTTGGAGGCTGACTTCTGTCTTCAAAATGCTTAGCCTTGAATTCTTTCACTGAACCTAGATCAAAGCACTTTTTTCACTTTTTATACAATATATATTATTATAAGTTTGACTTATCCCAGCTTGCACAACCACTCTTTCTGGGCATGTAACCTCATGAAACACCACTAAGAGTAAATGTCTTGTCTAGCAATACTTACGTCTGTAGTCTCTTTGAAACTCTTGGATTTCTTCGATGCATATGTCAAATATCTACAAAAAAAATTGAATAGGAAGGACAAATGACTCAGAGGAAACGGCAAAAGAGAAAAACCAGGAAGGAGTGAAAAGAAGAGTAAAAATTAAAATAATTAATAACGGAGGAAGAATAAGGAAGCAGACGATCAGAAAGAAAAAAAGGGTGAACATTAATTAAAATTAAATATTAAGCACCAAAAAAAAACCTGAAATCAAAAGCATGCAAACAATATTAAAACGTACCTTGAGCTTAAGATCTTCTCCTGTCTGGGCAGCCACTTGCAGCTAAGAACAATATATAATTGCATTAAATGGAGAAAGTTTGGAAAGAAAATTCCCTTGGCGTTGTAATATAAACACAAAATAGTTTAAACAATTTTAAACTCACATTCTGATCAACCATTTGAAACAGAAARACTGGTAAAGATGTGTTGTAAAACCCTTCACCATCAGTATCTGGGAGAGATTCGTTGTTCCAGTCCTTTAGAAAAAGAAAATTAGCTTAAGAATTAAAAAAATATTCTTTATTGAATTTAAACAGAAGCAAGAAAATGTCCTTTGCTACAGACAAGAAATTTTTCTTCAATTCAAGTAAATGCATGGAATCGCTGATATTTGCCATCTTAACTCCTTCAGGTCCTCTGGCCTCGTTTCCATTCCTTTGTTTTCTATTGTTTTCAATTCACTTCCGGCTTATGTTGTAAGCATCTATAGCATCACAGGCAGCCTAACCATTAACTTACCTTCAGATCAGTCTCAATCATTTTTCCCATCCATTCCTTGATGTTTTTAGCTGTAGTGGTAATATACCTGGGAACACAGAATACGGTAATTTAAACTGTGTATGTTTGATAAATTCTATGTTTCCTCATGAATGAAGACACTCACGTTTTAACTAGATTTTTATACACCGACTCTGACAGCAAAGGAGTCAAACAGCCAACATCAACTTGAATTTCAGGATGCATCATAAGGTCAAGACCACTGAAAAACATAGGGATATTGATTACATACTGTAATTGAAAGTAAATGCATGAAAGAATGGATGAAAGTAAGAAGAATATTTAGCTACAGTAAAGCAAACTCTACAATGTATCTCATGTCCCAGTTTCACTCCAGCTTTTTAAAATATTTTGATTGTACATTCTGCTCAAGTGTACAAAGAGCAAATGATTAGAGTTAATGAGTTTTGTAATTTGCTTATTGCAATGTAGACTGATGGGAGAGCCTATGTAGCACTCAGTTGATGTAATATATTCATAAAGATACAATACAAAACACATAATACAATAGAACGAGAAACAATGGAATACAATACATTTTATGAATACATTACATCAACGGCGTGCTACGTAGGTTACCCCGTAGACTGATTCCATAAGTCGGTCCCAGTTCACTCTCTGTCAGAGCTTTTGTCGCTATAGTTCGTGACAAACCGAAAAACCAAGGAGCAAAAACTACGACTTATGGAATCAGTCTAATTGCAATGCACTTATTTTTGCACATATTATGCACATAAAAACACTGATCRACCATGCCCTTACTTGAAACACTTGAAGCAAAAACATGAAAAGCAAACCCCCCTAAATATGACCTGATGTYCCAAGCCCCAAAGGGTCCACGTCAAAAGTTATGATCAAGAATGGATGGATAGATAGATACTGATAATATATCATGACAGTTTTCTTACCCATATTCACTTATCCATGTAAGTAAGCTGACACACTCATTTGACTCAAGRTGCTGCTCAATCACTGTTCTTTCAAGCTAAAGAATAAGAGCTAATTATAGCTCATTGAAACTCAGATTTGAATGGCAGTCAGCACTTTTGATTAGAATAAAAACTTTTGCCAACTTATAGAACAAACATATGAGAAAAATCAATACTTCTAATTCTACAATTTTTGGGGTCAACTTAATTAATAAAATACACCAAGTCAACTTATACAACAACAAATATGGTTTAGTATTTGAATGATTGACATGCTGTGGTTGTGCTGTGCTCTGTTTTGCTTGTTTATTTTTTTAGCTTTTTACAGTGTCTTTTTTTTTCTGAGTCCTGTTAATATTTTTTTCAAATACAAGACAATATAATTATATTAAAAACAAAAAATGAGATTGATGAGTGGATCAAAACATTGAGATGCACACGATACATTGATCACTTGTCTGAATGCTACTTCAAAACAAATTCATGCAACTCACCATGGAAGAGAGCTCACTATGGTACAATTCAACAGACTTGTCAAAGATATTGTAGCTTGGAGGGAAGCACGGCTGACAAAGGCTCTACAAATGACAAAATTGTTATTTTAAAAAACATGAAATAAAATATCAATAATAAAATGGTGAAATTTCAGTTAACCTTGATTATTATGAGGTCGTCCAGGAYTTTTTGTCTGGTTCTCTCAAGATGTTTGACAAGCCACATTTTCTCGCTGTGACGATTCTCAAGATGCATCTCAAGACTTTCAAACCTGGAAATCACATATTAACATTGTTATTAAATAACAATTATCATGATACAAAATTTTTAATCCACTAAAAAATTTGGTACAAAGATTAGTGTGCATTACCGACAGGCAATGGCTGCTTGTAATTCATGCAAGCATCTTTTTTTCCACTCTTTTGGTCGTCCTGGGACTGTGAAACCTGTTTTTTCATGTCTTTCTTTGSCTCTTTTATCTGCCCTGTATTGAGGAACAGCAACAATTTATGAGTATATTAAATATAAATCCAACAATCCATCTATCCAATAATCAGTTTAATTTAAGAATATAATATTTAAGAATGAATAAATGAATTGAATAATCTATTMAATGAATAATTGATTTGATAATTAAGGTATAGTTTATGAAATATTGTATGTCATATTAAATAATGGACAAGACAATATCATTGAATGGATAACAAAGAATAGACTGATTAAATAAATGAATGGATGAAGAAATGTAGTGATTAATTAAATCATAATGATATTAAGAAAATGAAAAGTATTAATGGATTACTGCATGAAGTAGGAAGAGAACAAACAGGCCTATTTCTTAGGTCAAATATTGAGAGGTTTAGATTTCGTGGTCAGAATTAAATCGCAGTGTTAAATGTGCATCGTCACCTTTCTTCTCTCTCAACAATCCTCAGTGCCGTCACCAATTGTGCAGGATCACTCCTCACAGTACTCAGAAATCTTTGCATAATGATCCAAAGTTGCTTTCCAAGGGAATCCTTAAYAAAAACCAATCATTGAAAAGATCATTTATTTTATTCTCAGCTCATCTACATAACATTGATTTGTAAAAGTATGGTCCACAAGAAAAGTACCATTCTCTCTCTTATTATTTTACTCTTCACAGTCTTAGGGTGCTTTCCATTTGTCAGAATTGGCTGGCCAGACCCAGAGAAAATGTCAATTATCATTTATCATTTATMACAAAATTATCGTTTTGTCAAATGTCATTCCTACTTAGTTTGGAAATTCAAATTTTCAAATTCTATCCATTATTCTATAGAAAACTTCGAAATAACTGAAAAATGTCGACAAAAAGCATTAATATACATCTAAATAGAGCGGACTGGCCAGCCAGTTCTGCCTAAATGGAAAGCATCCTTAATGATGGTAATATCCACATGATATTAATAATACTATTTATTTCCATTTTCAATCAAATCCATAATACTTACTGATAATTTGTTGACATCAGCAAAATAGTTGTTCAAAGGCTAACAATAAAATGAAAATTATTAATTTCATTTACTGCCTGTAATGTTATAAGTTTTTATAATATATGAACCAACTGCATGCTGTCTGCTTTATCAAATTAATTATTAATTTTTTATTGTATTTATTATAAATAAGTAGATATACCGTTTTATCTGTTCTTGTTCCTTCTTCAGACATAGACATCTTGTGGACTTCGTAAAGTAGCTCATCCCTAGTGGCCTCAAGGTCGGAGAGACTATAAAAAGTTAAAAATATATCTTAAATATATTAGAGTTATCAGTATTATATATGATTTATGTTCAAAATTAAATTAATAAAACACAGAATCCCTATTAGCACCTGCTATTATTTGTGGCAATTTACAGAGAAAGGGACATGGCAGATGATAACCAAAAACAAACCTTTTGTGAGCTAATAAAAGTTTGCCTTCACTGATCAATGTGTAGGTTTTTTCAACATTCTCAGGAACATTAAAGATATGATTCAGATGTTCACATGCCTTGGACACCTGCAAAACAAATTTAACGTTGTAATTATTAGTGAAAAACACCAAAGTAATTTTAAATAAAAATCTAGTTATCTGCATGGAGCAGGGAAGGAATTTGTATTTAAGCTCAAAATATATAATATATTACAAAATAATATGAAATCCCAGAATGTTGCTTTTGAGCATTAAGTTATTAAAATAATGGAACAGACTATAAATACTTTATTACAAAATTTTCAAACTTCACACTACTTTGTAGAATGTGAAAAACAACAACAGTTATTTTTTATCATATATTATAATTGTTAAAACAACTTTGTTTCAACATTCTATTAAAATTCATGCCATTGTTGCTCAGCTCTAGCCAAATTTTAAAGCTCATAACAAAGCTTTTAAGAATGCTTGTCCAGACCTTCAAGCTACTAGAACCCTGCATACCTGTGTATGTTCAAACTGTTTCTGTCTGACTTTGTCTAAGTTTTCACTTAGAGTTGAGACTCCTTTCAGCATATCATCAACTTCATCCATGCTAAACAAGAAGCAAGAGAACTGTCTCTCAAAATTTATTCAAGTATGCCTGAGTTGCTTTGTAAATATTGATGAAGGCTCCTCAACAATGACCCAATTTCCATAATGTAACAAATATAAAATTATGCAAATATAAGCATATTCTATCCTTCTGCCAGGTGGGGGAAAATTGTGCAGAACTTACACCCAACAGCATCAAAATTCATATTTTCAAACCTTTGTTTAATTGTCTTGATGTCCTCTAAAGCACTAAAAAGATGAATTATGTCTCAAATAAAATATTATAAAATCAATTTATTTTARTAAAATATTATAAAATTAATGAAATTTAACAGTATTAATCTACAAGAAATGCTCATTATTCCCAATAGTAACCATTAATCAAAGAAAATCATGGTTACTTAATAATGAAATTATTTGCAGTTTTCTTACAGTATTATACAGCTCCAGAAAATCTGGCTGCTAATTGCTGGACCAGCTGTCTAATTTTTTTTTCACTGAGAGTCCATAAACCCTATGGACACTAACAGCTGGGTGTTTCAAAGCTCGACATAAAAAAACTATGGCCCATTATAGTATTAATTATAATAAATACCTTTGTAAGTGCCCTAGTCCTGATCGTACTCCCTCTAGTTGGGACTGTACTGCGCTCTTGAGACGAGCTTCAACTGAAGCCTACATGTAAACAGAAAGACTGTGTTTACAGCAATCATAATGCTTACTCTCATGGTTCCACTTGAGTTTTGAGCATTTTTTACATCAATTTCATTGTCAATTAGAGTACAGACAATGAAAACTGCCTGCGAATTGTTAACGGTGTCTATGTTGGAAGCCTGTGTACCTTGTTTCTCATGACACGTCTTCTCCACTGTTCTACTTTGTCCAGGCTGTCTGGATTCTGTATGGAAAATAAGAAACAAGCTTACAATGTAGCTGTTAAAAATATTCCCTGCTTGAAGAAAATGGGAAACAATTTAAAGACCAAACTTTGTATTCTGACTACAGTATATTATACAGTGTCGACAGCATTTCAGCTGTGGCAGATAATAAAGAAAAAAAATTTGCTTGTCTTGGCATTAATAATTACTCATAAGCTATTCAACTTCATTCAAGGTCAGTTTCTGACTAGAATTATTGCAAATCAGTAAGAATAGAGTAATGACATCTATCAAAAAATAAAGTAGATGATTACGATTTAAGCTTATAGTTCGAAGATCATTTTAAACATTGCACAATTATTCCAAGTATCACTTGCTTTTTAGACCATTAAACATTAATAAGTGTTTCATGATTTTATTGAAAGCCATCTGTTGTGAGTTCTGAGAAACAAGACGTCCTAAAATAAAGAGACCTACTTGAAGCATTGTRGCGACATGTTTTGCCGCATTCTCGTGCGCTTCCGTCTTCGCTTTCTGAATGTCTATCGACATGATGAGCAAGGCAAAGAATTCTGGATTCACTGCCTGTTAATTGTACAATAATCTGGCTTTGCTGGACTCTGGGATCATCTTTAGAATCTTCCTCGCATTCAAGCAACTCCCCGTYTGTCGGCCATTTTGAAGACAACTRACGAGTGCATCATGGGAATTGAATAGGCTTCACACAGGAAGCCCAATGAACTAGGCGCCGGTASGAATTCATTTGCGTCACATCCGGGCTAGCCTGAAAAACTTGGCAAAATAAATATTGGTTAAGAATGAAATTAAGGATATGATAAAGCGAGCATTATAACTATCATTTTTATYAAAAAATAAAAWAAWAATAATAAACGTAATAAACTGACAAAATCTACAATTGTAAAATCCTTATACGRATTTGATCTCTGTYGACGCCAGCTCCTTTGAATTAGAAAACAACGCCTTARCGATTTGCGCCACAGGACCACGCTYATTTACATAATAATAGACCACTTGGCACTTTCGCCGAATAGACTATCCCAATTTGACATTATACTTTCGATAGTTACCTAGTTAGTGCAAGGGGTTATCCATCAGTGTCTAGGGGCCGGATAGCTTCTCCCTCACTGGCTTTTTAGTTAGCGCGAAGTTAGGACCAATTATCGGGATAGCATGGAAGAGCCGAAATCTCTAACCGTAATGTAAGTCGATTCGCCGCCTCAGCTTCACAGAATGTCTCGGGGGAATCGTCCCAACCTTTTTTCGATTTCTTTGTCATGGGTTCGAGTCCCAGTACGATTGTCCTTTTTTTTATTTATTATTTTTTTGTTCCTTTTTTTCTTTTTTAAATAGTATAATGAGTTATAATTAATTAAGGTATCAAAATAGGCCAAAACTACCAATTTGAGAGAGCACCAGTAGAATTCACAATACTTACCTTGAATTCAAATCTACAATATCCAATAAGCTTCCTTTGAAGAACAGTACATCAAAGCATGTTATATGCAGCTCATAAAAGCGTGGCGGCCACTGATCAGTTTTATAGAATTTATTATTATACATTGGTCACTGACGGCAGTAGTGCATGACATCAATCAAATTATAAAGATTACAGAGATTCATTAAGGCCGACTTTTGCCTCAACTATGACATACAACCTGCCCAAGTCGTTTTTAAAACATTAGTATTAGTTATTACTGTAGTAGTGATTCAAAATTAATACTTTTTGATGGGCCTGCGACAGTTGTAGCTATGGTCTACCCACGACTTAGGGAAGGGCGGATCCAGCATTTTAAAAGGGGCCGGGTACGTTTGTCAGTAATATATAGCTAAAAAAAAGTATAGCAAATGGAACTGACCATTTTTTAGCTGCGTATTATCTAGAGCAAGAAAATTATGCATTTGACCAGAAGCAAAGTGACTTTTATTGCAAAGTATCTTTGACTACACTACTCAAATAGATTGTTAAGTAGCATAGTGGGGGGTGTAGAATGGTGTCTCAAAAATCGCGAGGCTTGCAAGGTCGGTGCAAGAATTAGATTCGGATTTAAAATCTCTTGGCTCGGAAGCTCGCAATTGCCGAAAGTCGGACTCGTTCAGCCAAAGGCTCGCGCTCGGATTTTAAAACAAGGGGCTCGCAGGCTCGGCGGTGAGGCTTGGATTTTACCATTCGATACCCCTCATAGTGGCAGACACATGTTGTGTATGCTACTTGTTTTCTAGGTTAATACAACAGGAGTATAAAAAACAGAAAAAAACGTTTACACTAATACTGTATATAAAATAATTACCTCGTCCAAAAAAGAGAGGTTGCGTCCACACCCAAAGCACCCCCCTGGATCCGCCCCTGTTAGTACTGCATATCAGGATATTTGTTGATAAAAGCTGTGAATTCGATAGAGCTAGGCTCCGGTAATAAGTCTTATAAAAGTAGTGCCATGGAAACTTATATGAAATGTAGGATAAGATGCAGGGCTCACGGTAGCTTGGAAATGCGAGCGCGCAAGGGAGAAAAAAACGCGGCCGTTAAAAATTTATTTGAATTTATATTTCAGGCATTTTTAGAATTCTCATCTGCATGTAAAAACACAGGCGGACGATGTGGAATTGAACTCTAATATTATATATCTGATATAAGTGGGCCAGCCAAAGAAAGTGAGCACATAATATATCAAAATTGTCATGAAAGTTATAAATGCATGGGAAAGAAAGAAAGAATGAACAGAGAGAATCGGATGGAACAAAAAATGTTYTTTTGAGATCGTAATAGTGCTTTTAAAACAAAAAATGTAGCTTTTGTACAGGTTTTTGCTACATCGATCCCCTACAAACTCGGAAGTCCGTGTAAGCGTTGAACTAGAGTCTACGATTTTAGAAAATACAATATTTCAACGGTTTTGTGACTTCTTTCACATCAGTTAATTTACGTTATTTATTACACTCGTTATATATTAAACAGTGACATTTTACAATGTTTGCATTATAACTTAAGGATTTTTAAAATCTTAAAAGTATTTGTACTATTTACAAATTAATGATATTTGAAAATAATGACAATGTTGCGGCCATGGTGCATATGTCAAGCATCTGACTTAAACAAATAATTAACCATAATACATSAGTCGAATTGAAACCTCCAAGCCCCAGGCAATGCTGGGAAAATTAACCCTCAAACAAGTTTTTGAAGTCCCTCCATTTCCAAACCCTTAGAAGCCAAAAGTGGTAGCTAAAAACAAATCATTTCATATATAAGGCGTTAATAACCAATTTGCGAATTTTGCTTCAGTTGTCACTCACAAAGGAATCAAAATGAGATGCAGTGGACAAAACTTAATCAAACATAAATGACTGAGCTTTATGCATTGCACTTTGTCTTGATTCCTTTGTGTGTGTGACTACTGAGGCAAAGTCATCTATTCATTTTTCTTCCCTGGTTATAATGTGTTTAATTTTCCCTGGCCCTCACTGGTGGTTTGGGGGCAAGGTTTCGATTGACAGATTCATAATCATGAWACGTCAGAACCAGGGATGATGTCATAGTCCTTAACATTGACATTGATTTCTTTTGCAAAGCTGATATCCAACTTCAATATAATGCAATCCTTGCGCTTTTTTAACTTATAAACCAAAACCAGAAACACAAAACCTATTCCACATAAAACAATACACCCTCTGAATAAATTCCTTGGCCCATAAKTATGATAGAACAGGCCGCCAAACACTGCACCTAAACCCCACCCRAGTCCAAAATGAAAACCAGTCACCACACCCTCAATTGTGGTGTAWAGGTCAGGCGTGGCTAGTAAACTAGCAAATGATATTGCAGCACTCCACATRGCAGCTAGGGTAATGCCGTGAAGTGGTTCAATCAGTAATACATACCAAGGATTCGTAAGAACAGAATATAAAGTCACTCGCAAGATTGAGAGAGTTAAAGATAAGGCCAACACACCAACATGGCCAATACAGTTGATCATTTTAGAGCAGAAAACAAAAACTGGAATCTCAGAGAGACTCATTATTAGACTGGAGAGGCCAAGCAAGGACTGTGATGCTCCAAGACTCTCAAGAAACCAGAATAAAAATAAAATAATCACACCACCTACTACCCCCATTATAAACACATAAACCAAAAAACAAATAACTAAACCATTGCTGAGAATCTCCTTGACTCTTGACCACATAATCTTAGACTTCTCYTCCCTCACTACCTCAAGACCACAGCTGATTAGAAAGAAAAGCAGTCCGTTTGCACACAAGTAGATAAAAAATGCAGTCAAGTAGTTTGGTGCATTGGTGCTTTGTGAATTTGGATCAAAGTAATTGATATGTAATGTTTTGTCAATGGCAATACCAGTTAAAAAGCTGCCAAGTCCAAACCCAATGGCTCCAAAGACTCTTTGTTTTCCAAACTGGCTGGTCCCTTCCCAGTAAATAACTGTTGAACTCATWATTGCTCCAACAGGAGCATTGAAGAAATCCCCAAATATCAACAGACCAAAACTAGCAAAAAATATTGTAGTCTCACTAAATATGGTTGTATCACATGATACTGTTAAATTAGAAGCACTTTGATTGGTTGTTTTGAGTGGTTTTGTTTCAATTTTATGCGGTGATTTAAATTTCCCGCCAAAATGCAAACCAGCTGATACACTGGAAGCTTGGAATTCCTTGTTGATGTTTGTTCTGTTCTTTGCAGAATACAATGTTTCTTGATTTATAAAATCGAGTGCTTTGTTCTCAACCTCATATCGATGTAAAGCCGTTCCATTTCGTCGACAGTAGTCTGCACGGCTGCTCTCAACTTGACGAACAATAGCAACAAACGAAAGAGAGAAATACGCCAACACGCTAACAGTTAACGATACAAGCA